TGTTTTGCATTCTTGTTCGCTGGCGATTAGTGAAGCTGGCGGGACGCCATTACGTCACCCAAGGAGATGCTGAAAATCAGCGCTGCGACGCTAACCTCTTGAGGTTTAAGTCGCAGAAATTGCTGAGCATTATCCTGTTTTTGCGCACGCATACATGACGCACAATATTATGACCACAGAGCATGTAACAATGGCATGGGCAGTGTTTCCTTGTCTATGGTCCACAGATAATGTTAGATATTAAATATTCTATCATTTCAGTAAAATAATAAGTCTGTGGACCATGGACAAGATCTCACTTCATTTTAATTTTTTAGCTTTTTTTGTTTTCTTATTATTTTTAAATAATTATGTTATGTGTGTTTTGCGCAGAAATAAATGGTTTTTCTTTCTTTCTTTCTTTCTTTCTATTGTGTACCAACCCGCCTTGAGCAAACGTGGTGATTAATGCTCAAATCTTCTTCATGTGAGAAGAGGCTTTTGATTAGCAGTGTTCACTTATATTGTGAGATTATGATTATACAATTTCAAATAGTAATTCTTTTTTTACACCATCCAAAACCTTATTCTGTTTATTATTTGCCAAGAACACATTGTTATACTGAATTAGTCCTATAAGTGACTAGCAAGAAAATCAGATTCAGTTGAGACGGCTTATCGCTTATCTGGTCTAATAGTGTTATAGCCTTTTTGTGTCGGAAGCAGTGACGTGCGTGGGATGCTTACAAAACGTTGATTATTGTTGAACGGCTGTATATACTATATAGAGTGTTACGAAAAGTTGATATAGCTTCTTAAGAGAGAAACATAACAACTGGAAGATTATACAGACTTCGAGTTCAAAATAAAATAAGTACTTCAATATTTATACTAAATTTTCTGTTTCATATTTATTAACCGATTTCGGAAAATGGAGGATTTGGAGATTGACTTGTATTTATGTATATATGTTCGTACGCGATTATTTCACAATTGGCTAAACCAATTTTGATGCGGCTTTCAGAAAAGAGTTACACTTGAAAAAGGTGTCAGTATATTAATTAACCGACTTCAATAAAAAGACGGAGTTGAAGTCGGTTGTTTTAAACGTAGTTTGTAAAAGGATATTATATTTCTTCAATCTCTTATATAATCACAAATTAATATTGGCGTGGCAATATGCTTTTTATATATACTGACATACAAGTAAATAGCATGGCGACATCGATGACTGAGAGCTTCGTAATAGTGATGTGCTTATTTATCTACCAAAATTATTCTGACTGAAATAAATAATAACTATTATTCTGACTATATAGAGGTGCCTATAAATGCCTACTGCTGAGCAAAACCTCTTCTCACCCGGAGAAGGTTTGAGCATCAATCACCACGCTTGCTCAATGCGGGTTGGCTATTACAAATTTATAATTAAAAATTATAAGCCCAGTACTAAAACTGTACATTTCTATACATTTAGTATTGAATTCTGCTGCAATTTTGGTTCGTGACAGAATTTGATTTGACTACTTACCGAGCCAACGTTAGACTAAGCGATCTCTGATCTCTCACAGACACGTTTGTATCATTTCGCTTTTTATTGTTTCAGGGAAGAGCAGAAATACTTATTTATAGATGATTTCTGCTGTGTATTACAGAAAAAATTGTAATGAGATCGATTATATTTGTCAAATTACGTTATAAGTGTCGGCAAGACACGTGTTATGTACCAAGTTTTACAAGCGATAGTAACCTGATGGTAAGCCATCAGGTGAGTCGTGTACTTTTTGCCACCGTCGTGGTATAAAAAAGCGAATTTCTTGAAATATCATCAACAGCCTATAAATGCCCACTCCTGAGCAAAGCCTCTTCTCACACGGAGAAGGTTTGAGCATTAATCACCACGCTTGCTCAATGCGGGTTGGCGATTATAAATTTATAATTAAAAATTATAAGCCCAGGTTTCCCCACGATGTTTTCCTTCACCGCTTGTCAGTGGTGTCTAGATAATCTTAAAAAATACATATAACTTGGAAAATTACACATTGGTATTTGCCGTTGGTAGGTTTCGAACGCGCACCCTTATGCATGCGAAGCGGGCATCTTAAACCTCCGGGCCATTACGACGATTTAGAGGTATATAGCGCTAAAAACCTTTATTGAATTATTTGTTATGATTCTTGGAAGTCGTGCTTACGATATGAATAAACTTTTTCTGTAACACCTTGTATATTAGGTCGACAACTTTGGGATTTCGTTGTGGGTGTATAACACGATACGACATATATTTGTAAAAAAGTTACCCAAGGAGTTATTTTCTTTGTAATACGAATGTTTTCTTGTACTAGCTATTTTGTTAGATGAATTGTTTTTTTTTGTGTAATCATACTGTTTGACATTTGGAGTTACGTTTCACCTTCTAACTCTTGAAGGGATAGGCAGAGATGTGCATGCAATGTATCATCCACTTTTGATACCAGTTTTGTTACGTCACTTATGTAAAAGGTTTTTAAAATAATATGCTTCATGCATTTTGTCAATATATGCTAAGATTTCTATGTAGTGCTATTAAACACTGACTGCATCGTTGGCTAAGTGGTCGCAAGTGCGACTGCTGGGTAAGGGATCTCGGGTTTGATTACTGCGTCGGGCTAAATATTACTGGTTTTTTAAAAATTCTCCGCAGTAGCATGGAGTCTTGAATTGTGCTTGGTATATGGGAATAGGCTTACCTCCTATAATATATATAGTGAAAAGTGGGTGTTACGTTACATTGTACAGTGGCATTAAGTGCCGTAATGTGCACCTCTGCCTACCCCTTCGGGAATAAAAGCCTTGATGTTATGTAATGCTATTAAACATTACAGTAATATAAATACTAATAGAATCAACTATTTTTTAATATCAACTAATAAAAGTAAGCAGTAATGGTTTAAAATAGACTGACTGTGATTTCTTTTTGTTTTTATTTTATCATAAACACACTCCTCTCACACATGGATAATCATTAGCATAGCACGCAATCTCCTGTATCATACATACACTCTTCTCACATACTTAATTACTATCACGACACGCAATCAGTTAAAATTGTAATATTTATTATAGTATACTAGCAAAAAAATATTTAATTTAATTTTGCAGTCTGCGTACAGAAGGACCACCTTCGATAAATTCACTACCCAGAACTAAACCAACGTCCAAACTACATTTAAATATGTAAACCACAAGTCCTGGGTAAGATTTAATCACATTAACAAAATGGTTGGACGAAAATTTAGAAGCATTTCGTTGTAAAATTAACTTTTTTTACTTTTTAACATTATTGCTCACAGATGTGGCTGTATGTAATTAAAACTATCGAGTTTTGTATAAAACTATTATAAACATAGTAAAGTCTAAAGAATTTTTACCTTAAAAGAGTTGGGTTATTCTATTTATTTAGACTAATTTTAAATAATTTTAATTAAGGGTCTCCTTCACCATAATACATATCTAATAAGGTCCCTATCGAGTTAACTAGCATTAAGTTCTATAGAATATACGTCCCTTTATCTATTAATATATTACCGTCTAATAAAACTAGTCCCCAATACATTGAATAATACTTTTTTAAACATAATGTAGAATGAGTTCCTTGTAAAATGGGGTGACCTTATTACCATATACAAGGTCATAATTGTAAATCTAAATCTATTAAATAACAGTCGTCATCATATAATATGACCCTGGTCATCTTCTGGGCATATTTCCAAATGATGTAAAACTGATGTGCAATTATCTTGATACTATATGTATACTCCAATCTAATCTGTTTATTGTTTTATAAACATTGCATTATGTGGTTTTTTGATGTCTGGCAATGTGAAGAGCAATGAGGTTTAATTCAGTGGCGTAATGTTGGAGTAGCCTATAGGTATCCAGCAGTAAAAAGAAGCGAACTGATGATAATTACGATGTACATTTTATTTATTTATAAATACTCTATTTTACACATTACAGACTTCTTAAGTCTTCTCACAATGGTGATTTCTTCTTTTGGATGGAATTTTTATAAGTAATCAAATATGGAATAGTAAAGTGCATAATAAAAATTAAATGAAAAGAAGAGTACCTACAATGAATAAAAATACAGTAGCAATATAAAAAAAATACATATATAATATTTTTAAATAAATATACATTATATAATAAACATTTTGTGTATGTATATGTGTGAGTGTATAATTATGAAAAACAAAACATATATTAACATGTTTTATTTGACTGTGAGACATATTATATTTTACTAGAATTCTACAAAAAGAAAATACTATATACAACGCATTGTTTCTATGGAATAACGTACAACTCAGTGTTGTAGTTATACAAAATGTTCAAAAGTATTTTAATTTTCATCTGAAAATATAATCCATTAATGTAGGTACTAAAATAATTACGAAACATTAAATTAATGCGTCAATTGTTAATATTATTAATTCAGACAATTTGATTTTTTAAATATAATAAAAGAATTTATCATTACCCTGGACACAATAACGTTAAAAAAACCAAAATAAAAATAGAAAACATGTCTATCCAAACACTGAACAATATTTAAGAACAAATATTTTTTTTTAAGATAACGCACACAATATCAAAATTAAAGCTAATATTCAGCCTAATATGAGAAAAAAGGTGCGTACCTAATTTATTAGTCGTTACAGGGTCACATCCACACATCGTCCCATCCCTTATAAGTGTCACATAACTTACTGAAGATAGCTCCAGGTTAACAGAATTATTTAAAAAGGAAATAAACGGTAAATTAAATAATTTCAAAAGATATAACAAACGAGTTTTAAAAGGATTTTTATGTTACGTTCAGTTATTTTTTCATTCCAAGTCAGATTAGAATTTTTTATGCGTTGTTTTGTATTTTTAAAAGATTATTCGTATTATTCTGATGTTTTTGTAAATAAGATTTTATAGGCATAATGTTTAATTTATTTACTATACTATAATAATAAATAAAATCACAATACCTGGCAGTAACAGTTCAAATCCTAATATCTCCAATCATTTTATCATCGAAATGTTGCCATTTCTGCTACCCAACGTCTGAAATGTACCACATTATACGCGTAAGCACTGGCACACGACACTAAAAAATATAAAAAAAAATCCGTTTCAATTTATAGAACGCGCGTTTTTTTAAATTTGGAACATCGGTAAGATGGGTTTGTAAGGGGACGTGCGTGTCGTCCAACAGTACAGAGAACACTGAGGGGATGAGTTGAGGCGCGCGCAAAACTGTTGAATCCGTGACTGGACCAAGTCTCGCGAGCATTTTTTATATGTACATATATTGTATAGGTACTTAGGTAGCTGTGTGTATATAAAATTGGGTGCTGCACTAGCCATTGTTGACGGTCTTTTTACACATTGTTTTTTGGTTGAATTTTTAACCATAGAATAATGTCTGTTTTTATTTTTAGTTTTTTTTTAGTATTTCCGATACAGTTTAGATATTTTAGATTTTTTTTCGATTGACTTTGTTAGAAATGTATTACATATTATGTTTTTACATTTTTTTTGTCATTCGTTCTACAATAATATTTAAATAAGTTGAAAAACGTTTTAATATAAAATCATAAACATTATTTTTTACTGAAGATCTCTAATTTATTCAAGATGAACCGTTTTGTGTTACATGTATGTAATTACCTGTTATAAATATGTTATGGACTACCCTTTGACTTCCTTTGACTCTGTAATTAAGTGTTATCAAACGCAAAATATGAAATGAAATGAAAATGAGGTGTTTTCGACATTTTCTTTGTACAATAAATGTTCGGTGTTAAAATATTCAAGCGAAATTCAAGCTTATTGTTTAGATGTGGAAGTTGTTAATTACATCTAATTATTCGAGGGGATTTTATCTAATATCTTATTTGTTTTTTTATTTGAAATTACATCTAATATATTATTTGATCTCTTATATTCTAAAGGAACACATCCTTTTGAGAATATAATAAAAAACTGTTATTTCAAGAAATTCGCTTTTTTATGTTTTTTTTTGTTTGTTTATTTATTCTCATAAATATATACATTATTATTAAATATAAAAAAATCGCCAAACTGTTACAGTTTGTTGGCGATAATGGCGCTCTTAAATATTATTTATTATACACATATTATATATATACCTTATTTTATAACTATTTCTTTATATATATTATAAGTATTTTATATTAAATCTATTATATGTATTACCAATTATTATTGAATAACAAAAATATCATTAATTTTATTAATACTAATATCTTAGTTAAACTATTTCTATTACATATGAGTATCTTATATGTTTAGGTAGTAGTTTTTAAGTCTTTTTTTAAGTAAAGCATCACTTATGTTATCTTTGGAAGCGTTTCTTATAAAATCTATGTTGTTAAATATTGTTATAATGTATACCACGACGGTGGCCAAAAAGCACACGGCTCATCTGATGGTAAGTAGTTACTATCGCTTGTAAAACTTGGTACATAACACGTGCTTTGCCGACACTTATAACGTAATTTGATAAATATAATCGACCTCATTACAATTTTTTCTGTAATACACAGCAGAAATCATCTATAAATAAGTATCTCTGCTCTTCCCTGAAACAATAAAAAGCGAAATGATACAAACGTGTCTGTGAGAGATCAGAGATCGCTTAGTCTAACGTTGGCTCGGTAAGTAGTCAAATCAAATTCTGTCACGAACCAAAATTGCAGCACAATTCAATACTAAATGTATAGAAATGTACAGTTTTAGTACTAAGCCCGAGTTGTATCCGACAGGAATTTTAGACGTCCATTGAATTTTATTTAAATGTAGCTTTCGGAGTTATTGTCGATTCGATGACGTTCGGTTTTGAAGATCACAATTCTTGTTGAATTGTGATTTTGTGTCTGATGATTTTCCTAATGATTATTTGTTTTTTACATAATAATATAATTTGAATTTAGGTTCTTGGGTCGGGCCGGGCAAGGAATCTCGGGTTCGATTCCCGGGTCGGGCAAAGTATTACTGGGTTTTAAAAATAAATCTAAATAGTAGAACGGAGTCTGGAAATGTGCCCGGTATATGGCAATAGGCTCACCCACTATTACATGGGACTCATAACATAAATAATGAAAAATGGGTGTTACTTCTGTGTGCACCTCTGCCTACCCCTTCGGGGATAAAATGCGTGATGTTATGTAATGTTATGTTATGTAATTCTTGGGCTGCACAAGATTCGGTCGGTCGATCGGTGCAGTTTTTCATTTTCAAAATGTTAAGAGGTATGGGATAAGGAAGAGCCGAGCAATTAAACGACAATTGGTGGCTCATAATAATATGTGTGTAAATATGTATTATGATTTTGTGTACTGAATTTTATTACTGAAAAGGTACGAACGCTAAAAATCACGAAACAAATATCTATTCATGTAAACACTGTGATGTAATAAACATGCTTTCATTGTCAAGTATTCCGTTAAAGTAAATAGTTGTTTAGCTATTTGTTTCAAAATGCATTTCAATTATTACATCATTAAATATGTAAGTAAATAAAAGGAACCACATACAATTATATAAATGAATATAGACACGTGCAGCACCACGTGCTAGATCTAATGTATTCATATTCTTGTAACACTTCGGATCTGTTACATTTTGTGGTTGATTCAAACCACAGTATTCATTCTCATAACTTCAATTAATACAATAATAATAGAAACAAAATATGTATGAAAATATGTAAGTACCAAGTTTTATCTAATACTAGCAGCCCGTCCCGGTTTCGCACGGGGTAGACAATAATTTATTTTTGGATTGTTGTAGTGACATAACTACAATAGTTAGACATATGCTATTGCGGAGTTTGTTGTAGACATTATGATGTTCTTCAATATTGTTGTACATTATTTTGTTCTATCGCTAATAGTTTCGGCAGCGCACTCGACAAAAGACATATTAAGACTCATTTTTCTACACCTTCGGTTACATTGTTCAAATTTTACCAAGGATCCCTAATTTTTTTCAAAATGAAATGTAGCCTATGTCAAATTGGAAGAATGTAGCATTCTATTGGTGAAAGATTTTTTTAAATCGGCCCAGTACTTTTTGAGCCTATTCATTATAAACATACAAAAATAGGTACAAATCTTTCCTCTTTACCTCTATAATATTAGTATAGATTTAGAAAAAATGAGTAATTTTTGACTGGACTTGCATGCATGAATATTTTATCTACATTTTTTAAACAAATATGGCGTCTGATATAGATAATACTTCTTTTTTGTTTTAAAAACGTTGCCCCTCACTAGGATATTCCTCTGTGTCGTGGGTGCGTTTGCAAACATACAAGTTCACGTGACACCCAGACCCGGAACACCAATCTGTGGTTCACACAAAGAGTTGTTCCGTGTGGGAATCGTTCCCGCGACACGTTGCGCGGCAGCCACTTGCCCAGCCACCATGCCAACCGTGCCGTCAAAATAGGGTAGATGCCTAATTTTTATTTTAATGTCCGTCTGGAAGATTATTTTAAAGCATTAGTATAGACAAGTATTTTTTATTTTATTACAGAAACGAATAGTTTCGACGATATATTGATTTGAAATGTCGCGTGACGTCACTTCTATGTACATTTACGTAGAAATGACGTTTTAGCCTCCACTCCTAAACTTTGATTCGTTTTATCTAAGTATTCTTTTTTACGACAAAAAAATTACGTGTTTAATATTTTTTCATTATCTAACTGACGGACTAATTACATTTTTAACTTTCATACCCTGTCATCATTCCAATTATAACTAGGTACCAAATTAAAGGGAAATATTATCTTCATGGTTTGACCACAGTACCATTTTCCTTTACACTAATCTCAGAAGTCAGAGGGTTTCATTGAGAAATTATACGCTTGTCTTTTTATTAGATAAAATTCAGTATTATTGTACCATATAATAATTATCATATTACAATACTGAATAACGTAGTACACGAGCAAACCTAGTACGAAAATCTAGTACAGAAGAAAAGTAAGTAAAATATAGGTTATATTATTTCATAGTAACATCTCACCTCACGGCTATAGGTACCAAACAATAAGGTCCGCTCAATCAAATCGTTTGACAGGTCATCCATTCACTTTTGGCGCAAAATCAGCGTAAAAATAAATATGTTGAAAGAAACATGGTTTAGGCGTAATATTGCGGTATTTCTTTATATTTAGGTAAGTATTTATTTAGATTTAATTCTATAAACAGTCTGGGTTATCTTGTTCTATAATCGTAAGTGTACCTACTTAATTGCTGACGAGAATATTATCTCTCGTTTTGACATTTTATAAACGAATAATGGTATAAGCCCTAGTGTACATTTTTTTTTACTTTGCCCCACACTAGGATTTTCTCCTGTGTCGTGGGTGCATTTACAAACGTATTAGTTCACATACATGACACCCAGGTGTACAAGGTGTAACAAACCGATTCGATCTCGCTACACGTTCCGCAGCTACCAATTTTCCAGTCACCGTGCTAATTGTGCACTCTAAACCGAAAAATACCCCATAGAAAGTTTTCTTTAACTGAGATTTGGATTATAAGATTAAATCGACGTGACAAAGGTCAATGGTAGCAGCTAGATGCGCAGCTACTTTGAAATCAGGGATCTAGAAGTTGCTACAATTACGTTCAGAAGTAAAGGTCTTATGTATAATACTATGACGACAATAATAATGAAAATTTTAAGTGTGTGGAAGCCATATTGCTTCAGTAAGAGTGGGCCGGCTCGACCGGAGTGATACCACGGCCTCACAGAAAGCCGACTTGAAACAACGTTTGCGTTATGTTTCGTTGTGTGAGTGAGGTTACCGGAGGCACAATTATACCCCCTCCCCAGTCCCCGAATCTCCCACAATCTTCAAATTTTAATTCCAAAATGCCTGTTACGCACTTGTAACGTTACCTCTGGTGTATCAGGTGTCCATGGGTGGCGTCGATTGCTTACCATCAGGTGATCCGTCAGCTCGTTCACCGGCTTATTATGCAAAAAATATATAATAAATTGTTTTAAAACATTTAGCATAACAACAACTAATTAAATGCTGATAAACATGATTTTGAAAAACTTCAAAATCAGACTTCAAAAGATAGCTATCTCAAATTTTATTTAAAGCCGACTTAAGTCTAGATTAATTAATTAAGACTTAGGATAATTAGAT